TGAAGACGCGCGGCCCGCGCTGCAGGATGCTGTGCACCTGGATGATGTGCGGGTTCTCGATCTTGGTGAGGATCTCGAGCTCGCGCGGGAAGAACCTGTCGAGGAAGTCAAACGGCGCCCTGTCCTTGTCGAAGATCTTGCAGGCGAGCCTCATCTTGCGGTTGGCGGCGGCGTCCACGTACTCTGCGACGTGCACCGTGGCGTACGTCCCCTGGCCGACCTTCTTGCCGATGATGTACCCGCGCTGCTCCAGCGCGCTCACCTCCGAGTTGCGAGGGCTGAGAGGGTGCGCGTCGGCGCCCCCCCAGGGACTGCAGCCCGGGCTGGGCGCGGGGGCCGCGGGGGGCGTGTACGTCGTCATGCTGGCGGTGGGTGGCCGTCATGCCCGCTCTCTCGGATGGGGGGTCGCGCCCGCATGCGTGCCCCCGCAGGGGCCGCAGCCACCAGGATCCACGGAATCTGCAGAGAGAAAGAGAAAGGAACAGGGTTACCCACGGTCCGTGCTTGAAGGGCACGTGGCAGTGCTGCACGTTGCCAAGCACGAAACATGCCAAACGCAGAACCCAATTCCTTGCTCTTTCTCGCCTGGCCTAGTAACGCCTATCCCACTTCCCGGAGTGGGTTCTCCGTTCCGAATTCGACATTGCCGTAACTTGCGAAAGCGCGCTGTCCCTCTTATGTAGGTTACGGTATAGCCTCTGATGTGTTGGATAAACCGAGACTCTCGTCGATTTTACGCGAATTAAACGAAATTGACAAGGCAAGGTGGCAATGTCGGGATTAAGTACTGAGCGTAGTTTGGGTTGCACCTGGCATGTGTCTGGTGTGCAATTAAAACCAACATGTGGGGGAAGTATAATCTTTGTTAGGCATGACTCAGATTATTATTTTGCGGTTCAAACAGGTCTTTTTTTTTCTTTTTTTATGTTGGGGCTGGTCACGGGGGGGAGGGCCTGCGGGTGGTCTTCACGCCGGGCGCTACTCCGCCGGCTGGTTGACGGGCGTGGCGCCGGCTGACTTGCTGACGGCGGACTTGCGGTGCTTGGACGCCGAGTGGGTCTCCGGCTGGTCGGGGCGCTCGCTGTTCTTGGCCGGGTCGCTGCTCTTGGAGGCGCCGGACGGCACGGACGTCCCCGTCGCGAGCGGTCGGGCCGGCGGCGGGGGCGGCAGGCTGGGGCTGGAGGCGTGCGCCGCCGCGGGGGTGGTCAGCTTGGCGGCAGAGGGCGGCTTCTCTCTGCGCGACCGCACCCAGTCCAGGGCCATGGCCCGCTCCAGGGTCAGTCGCTGGGTGATGTCCGGCTCGAGCAGGTGGCGAACGATGCCTTTGGCCATGTTGGACACCGAGTCCCGGACGTGCGAGCGGAAAGACCAGTTGCGGTTGAGCTGGTCCTTGAGAAGCTTGCGCAGGTTGGTGTCGTCGAAGGGCATGCTGGCGTTGAGCATGATGAAGAGGATGATGCCCAGGGACCAGACGTCGGCCAGCTTGGGGTTGTAGGG